CCACAATATCACCCATGTGATGGTGGTGGTTGTAGTACTACTACAAACCACAACGTCATGCCTCAAGGCACTACTGTTTAAGCCACTTCATGTCTAACACCGTCGACATGCTCTCTGTTTACATGCAACATTCACAACATCAGAAACAGCAACCCTGTGGCTAGATCAAATTTATTCTGATCAGGAGAGAGGCGTTCCTCTCGCCAACGAGAAAACAAGATTAACCCAATATGAAAATCTTGAGCCACCTTCTTCCGGAGCGTCAATATAACACGTTTGAAGGAAGGAATTATCAAGGGAAAGCGCCAAGCCATTACGACTATATAGCACTGGGAAGGGGTCAGGATATGGATTTGGGATGGGACGGGAGGGAAGGAATGGTGCCTCAATCACTTGGACGGTCGGGGATTGAACGCCGACCTGCATGAAGCGAGACCGTCGCTCTAATTCGTCGCTAATGTTTTCCCTCCTAATCCCTCGTATATATATTTAACAATGGTGTATCCAGAATTATTTTCAGGCTATGAATCTATGTAATAGAAGAACACTTTATATAGATCTTCGTGTCAGTAGATCAGAGCTGTCCAATCCAAGCAGCCAGCACCACTATTCGTTCTCCCTGAATAAGGGAAAGGAAAGGGAGGAGCTAAATACCTTGAGGTTACCTTTGAGGTGTTTTCGGGGCTTAGGGTCCCCGCGGCCCGGTCGTCGACCAGGATTCCTGGTTGCTGGACTGGTCAACCAGGCTGTTAGATGCGGCTGCTCGCAGCCTGACGTATGAGTCACAGCCTGTTTTGATCAGTTATCCTTCGGAGGTGCTTGTCAAGTTCTCTCTTGAGAAGTAAACCAGCGTGATATATAGCACATGGAAGGGATACGAAAAGCAGCAGCTGGGATATGAGGCAGGAGTAAAGCAACGATGCCCAACTACTTGCTCCATCGGGAATCGAAACCCTGAAAGCTTGGAGGATGTTGCTTTACCAACCAGGTCAAGTAGATGGACAAGATTTTGTCGTTTGAAAAATAAGTGAGCATCTGGCACTCCGGTAACTGTTGACAGCACGAATCTGCACCGACCATCACCCACGAATACAATGAAGAGAATGTATGTGCCCCCAGTTAAGAAGGAGCAGAACGTTATAGATAGAAATGTAGAATAGAGTCAGTGAAGAGTTGAGATGCCACACGCCCAATCAGAGAACACATTATGAACATCAAAAGTCCACAGTTGTTCAATCAATCCTCCCAGCAAGTATATGAAATACTGCCGGGACAAAAGTGGAAGTCTTCAAGTAAAAACTGGATAGTTTACTTTAGGACGTATAGTGGGGTACAGGGGGTGGATAGCACTGTTATACTGGGTACAGGGGGTGGATAGTACTGTTATACTGGGTACAGGGGGTGGATAGTACTGTTATACTGGCTACATTGGACTAAAGGATGTAAGCACCAAACTGGTTGATACCTGGTTGATGGGGTTCTGAGAGTTCTTCTACTCCCCAAGCCCGGCCCGAGGCCAGGCTTGACTTGTGAGAGTTTGGTCCACTAGGCTGTTGCTTGGAGCGGCCCGCAGGCCCACATACCCCACCACAGACCGGTTGGTCCGGCCTGTGGGTGCTGTTTGGTGCTTAGAGCGAGGTCAGAGACTGAGCCTCGGGGTACAGCCCGTCCTCTCGAGCATTCACAACGTCACTAAACTGATGTACTAAACTGCCAGAACCTTATCTAACTTAACCGAGGACCCGTGAATAGAAAACGGGACATCGCGTCAATTTTGCGAGCCGCTATTAGTTTTTGGCCTTAGGGTGAATTATGCGCCAAAATGCGATTAAAGTATTCGAGAGGATGGGATGCCGGGGGACAGTGATATCTGGACCCAGCACGAGGTAGTCCCAGCTGTTGAGGGCGTCGCCAACCAGGCTATGATCCTAGGAACCATCCTGCTTGATAACTGCTTGATGGGGTTCTCGGAGTTCTTCTACTCCCCAAGCCCGCTTGCGGGAGAGCTTAGTCCAATAGGCTGTTGCTTGTAGCCGCCCACAAGCCCACATATCCACACACAGCCTGATTGGTCCGGCACTCCTTGAAGAAAACAATCTAGTTATCTCTTGAAGATGTCCACGGTTGTTATCTTCTTGAGGTTATCTTGAGATGATTTCGGGGCTTTAGTGTCCCCGCGGCCCGGTCCTCGACCAGGCCTCCACCCCCAGGAAGCAGCCCGTGACAGCTGACTAACTCCCAGGTACCTATTTACTGCTAGGTAACAGGGGCATTCAGGGTGAAAGAAACTTTGCCCATTTGTTTCTGCCTCGTGCGGGAATCGAACCCGCGCCACAGAATTACGAGTCCTGCGCGCTATCCGGCTGCGTGTTCCGGCAATATTTCTTATGCTCGCTGGGAGGACGTTGAACAACCGTGGACCTCTGATGTTTACACAGTGTTCTCTGATTGTGCCTATGGCACCCATGCACTTCACTGGTTCTATTCTGCATTTTCTTCCATGTCGTTCACTCCAGTCGCTGAGCCTGGCATCACTCCGCCAGGTTGTCTAGGTCGATAATGTTGAGGGGAAATCCCAGGATGGAGATCAATATGGTGGTGAGTAGCTTTGTAAGAGGGGAGGTGATGACTCACTTGGGGTCAGATAGCCGTGGCTCCCTCTGACTCACAGTGTGGCTCCCTCTGACTCACAGTGTGGCTCCCTCTGACTCACAGTGTGGCTCCCTCTGACTCACA